ACACAAGTCTCCAAATCCTTACAAGCCACGCATCCCTTTTCCGAGTAGACTCCGAGACGAGAAGCAAGAGCAACAATTCCGAGATCTCTACAACATGCTCTCAAAGGTCAATGTCAACTTACCTCTCCTGGACGTGATCAAGAACATGCCTACTTACGTGAAGTTCTTCAAGGATTTGGTCACGAAGAAGAGGAAGTTCGGAGATGGGGAGAAAGTGGTGGTTTATGAGGCAGCGAGTGCCATGCAGCATGATCTTCCAAAGAAAGAACGGGACCCTGGGGGTTTCATGATAAGAATCGCTCTCGGGAACGGAAAAGAGGCTTCGGGGATGCTTGACCTCGGAGCGGGAATCAACCTTATGCCGTTTTCGATCTTTCAGCGATTGGGTCTTGGAGACTTGAAACCAACCCGTATGTGCCTCTAGCTTGCAGACCGTTCTATCAGATACCCCAAAGGGGTAGTAGAAGATGTCCTTGTTCGTGTTGGGAAACTCATCGTTCCAGTGGACTTTGTCGTCCTAGATGTGGGGGACGTACAGGAAAACGGGAAGGATCATACCATCCTTCTCGGAAGACCGTTTATGGCTACCACCAACACCCTCATTGATGTGAAGAATGGGATGTTGAACATGACGGTCTTGGGCGAGTCCGTTTCTATTTCAGTCCGAGATGCCACCTCTGCATCCTCAGTGAACTTTGTGGAGGAGTGCGCCTTCGTTGACATATCCGACCAGTTTGTGGAGGAGACGACTGTACGTGACTACGAAGAGAGATTAATGCCCAACCTTGATGACGATGAAGAGCCAATCATTGAGCTTTTCGCAGCTGATGAACCACACGCACCTACTCCACCCGCATTAGAGCTTAAAGAATTACCCCGCCATCTCAAGTACGTCTTCCTAGATGACGAGAAGCAAAAGCCGGTAATCATCTTTGTCGAGCTTAACCGGGACGAGGAGAATGAGCTAATTGAGGTGCTAAAGAAGAATCAGAAAGCCATTGGGTGGAGCCTCGGAGATATAAAAGGCATCAGCCCCTCCACATGCATGCACCGGATCATCTTAGAGGAAGGTGCCAAGCCATTTCGGGATAGCCAGCGGCGGCTCAACCCAAATATGATGGAAGTAGTGAAGAAGGAGGTGCTCAAGCTCTATTCAGAAGGGCTCATTTATCCAGTGGCGGACAACGAGTGGGTCAGCCCCATACATGTAGTTCCGAAGAAAGGGGGCATCACGGTGATCGAGAACGAGAAGAAGGAGATGGTCCCCACTCGAATCACTACCGGGTGGAGAATGTGCATAGACTATCGGCGCCTCAATGCCGTTACGAAAAAAGATCACTTCCCGTTACCCTTCATCGATCAAATTCTCGACCGTCTCTCGGGCCACCAGTTCTACTGCTTCTTAGACGGACTCTCCGGCTACTACCAAGTAGCCATAGCGCCAGAGGACCAGCCTAAGACGACCTTCACGTGCCCATTCGGCACCTTTGCTTTCAGGCGGATGCCTTTCGGCCTATGCAATGCACCCGGGACCTTCCAAAGGTGCATGTTCTCCATCTTCTCAGACATGCTCGAGGACTGCCTCCAGGTATTTATGGATGACTTCTCTATTTTCGGTACTTCATTTTCTGATTGTCTCCATAAATTATCTCGTGTGCTTGAGAGGTGTATTGAGTCTAACTTGACATTGAGTTGGGAGAAAAGTCATTTTATGGTGACTAGTGGAGTCGTGTTAGGTCATGTGGTATCGAGTCGTGGAATTGAGGTTGATAAAGCAAAAATTGACGTGATTGAAAAACTCCCTCCACCTGTGAATGTGAAAGGGGTTAGAAGTTTTTTAGGTCATGCTGGCTTCTATAGGCGATTTATTAAAGATTTTTCGAAAATAAGCCAACCTTTGTGTCACTTGCTTGCTAATGATGTGCCTTTCGTGTTTGATGATGCATGCATAGATGCTTTTGGTCAATTAAAAAATAAGCTTGTGACGGCACTTATTGTGATTGCCCCTGATTGGTCGTTGCCTTTTGAGATTATGTGTGATGCTTTGAACCTTGTTGTTGGAGCCGTCTTTGGTCAACGAGTTGATAAGTTACTCCGTGTAATTTATTACGCTAGTTTGACCTTAAACGGTGCCCAATTGAACTACACTACCACTGAAAAAGAGCTTTTGGCAGTAATTTTTTCCCTTGAAAAGTTTAGATCTTACATTTTAGGATCTAAAGTGATTGTCCATTCTGACCATGCTGCATTGAGGTATCTTTTGAGTAAGACTCAATCGAAACCTAGACTCATTCGGTGGATTTTATTGTTGCAAGAGTTTGATGTAGAAATTCGCGATTGGAAGGGTTGCGAAAATGTGGTTGCTGATCATCTTTCTCGCATTGTCCCTACTGAGAACTCACTTACTTTGCATGAACATGTTGACATAAATGATAGCTTCCCATATGAGCACGTGAGTGAAGTAGTTAGAGTCCCTTGGTATGCAGACATTGTAAATTATTTATCAGATGGAGTCCTGTTGTCTAACCTCTCTTCCCAAGAGAGGAAGCGTTTTGTGTTGATGTGCAGGAGTTACTTTTGGGACGACCCATTTCTTTTCAAGGTGGGAAAGGATGAGATCCTTCGGAGGTGTGTGCCCGAAGAAGAGCAACTGGATGTCCTTGTCTTTTGCCACGAGCTTCATTGTGGAGGACACTTTGGAGGTCGAAAGACCGCATTTAAGGTTCTCCAGTCAGGTTTATTTTGGCCTTCTCTTTTTAAAGATGCTCATAATTTTTGCAAATCTTGTGACCGCCGTCAAAGGATTGGGAATATAGGCCCAAGGAATGAGATGCCCCTTGTGAATAATTTGCAAGTAGAAATATTTGATGTATGGGGCATTGACTTTATGGGACCATTTCCCAAATCTTTTGGTTTTGAGTACATTCTTCTTGCTGTAGATTACGTGTCCAAGTGGGTTGAAGCTATCCCCACAAGGACGTGTGATGCTAATGTGGTTATCAAGTTTTTGCAAGGTAATATCTTGAGTAGATTTGGATTTCCACGAGCTATAGTGAGTGATGGAGGCAAACACTTTTGCAACCGGGTTTTTGAGAAACTAATGATGAAATACGGGATTTCACACAAAGTGGCTACCCCATATCATCCACAGACGTCGGGACAAGCAGAAACGAGCAACAAACAAATCAAGACCATTCTTGAGAAGACGGTGAACTCGTCCAGGAAGGATTGGTCGAGTAAGCTCGATGATGCACTGTGGGCCCAAAGGACAGCATACAAGGGAGTGTTGGGGATGAGTCCATTCCGCCTAGTCTATGGAAAGGCATGTCACCTTCCGGTGGAGATCGAGCACAAGGCGTTCTGGGCAATTAAAAAGATGAACTTCGACCTTGATGTGGCCGGAAAAGAGCGACTACTGCAACTCTTGGAGCTAGAAGAGTGGAGGAATGAGGCCTACGAGAACTCCAAAATTTATAAGGAAAAGACAAAGAGGCTTCATGATGCTACTCTTATCCGGAAAAATCTCGTACCCGGTATGAAGGTTCTTCTCTTTAATTCCCGACTCTGTCTTTTTCCCGGAAAACTGAAGTCCCGTTGGAGTGGACCTTATGTTATTGAGGAAGTGCTATCATTTGGAGCTGTGCGACTCCGAAACCCAGCAAATGGTGACTTGTTCGTGGTCAATGGACAAAGGGTCAAGCCTTATTTCGAAGAAAAGTTCGAAAAGAATCATGTCGAGACTATCAGTCTCGACGAGCCACTGTATCCTTGATCCAGACTAGAGCCGAGCTCCCGGCGATAAACCGAGCGTATTTCTGTACTTTTTGTATATATATATATATATACTTTTATTTCTATATCATATAAAAAAAAAAATTTGTCGCCGCGGGCCGCGAGGCTTTTCTTAGCCGCGGCCGCGGCGACCATTATTTGATGAGCCGAGTTTGATTTCTGCAGGGAAAATTTCGCGGCCACGGAGCAACCTCGCGACCGCGGAGTCGGGTCACGACCGCGGCGATGTAACTCTCGCCAACCCTCATTTCTGCGTATGGAATCTCGCGGCCGCGGGCGACCACGATGTCTCGTTTTAAATCCCTTGCTGCACTTAGAACGACCGCTTTCACCCCTCTCACTTTCGAACGACTTCGCACGGCGATCTCCTTCTCCAACTTCAATCCCTTACCAATCCCTCATGAATTTCGAAAAGTGGTCATCCACATCACAAGCTTTACCTTCGAGATTTTTGCACGGAACTTTTCGGGCTCTTTCAAGTTGTATCCGGGAACCCTAGCACCTCCAACAGCCCAAACCATCACCGTCGCCATAGTCTCTCCGACGACTCTCCGGCGAATCCCTCTCCGGCCGTTCCCTCCTCAGTCACCCGGCGACCTCCGACCACGGGTCTCGACGGTTCGCATTCCGCCCGTATTTGTTTCTCATACCTAACTCGTGGTTTGTCGATTTCGGGCCCGAATTAGCACGCCAAGGTACCGATAGCTTACTCTACACTTGCTTGGTTATTGTTGAGGCGTGAGGAGGCCAACTCCGGGATCGAGCCATTTTGAATTGTTCCCAAGTTTATAGTTCGAAGTTCCGCACGCCAAGTGTTCGACATATTGCCCGATAGACCGTTCAAATGGGCAAGAATCCGTTTCGTCCCACCAAGAAGAAACCCACTCAAGAACCGCCTAGGAAGCGTCAAGCGGGCGAATCCTCCTCTCGAGATGCCCCTCCGGAAGAGGACTGAAATGACCTTTCGGACCATTACGGTGCTCCGTTCCCCATCTACTCCAGGAAGGAGGGCGAGATTTATGCCCGTCTCTCGCAAAAGGAGGTAGTGCGACCGAAAGCGGTGGATTGGGACCTCCTGAACGACTTGGGAATTCTCGAGGACGTGATGAAGTACCTCAAGGTTTTGAACCTAACCGACTACGCCAAAATAGAGGAGAGTTCGCATCGAACTCTCATGCTTGAGTTCTTTAGCTCATTTGTCCTCGCCGATGGAAACGAATATATACTTCACTTGTCGGCTCAAAGGGAAGGACCTCATGGTGGACAATGACGTAATGAAGAAAGTCTGCGGTTTCACCTTCTCCGGTACGCGAAGTAAGGCCCTCGACTTCGACGCCAAGAAGAGTTGGGCCGAACTCTCCCCACATACGACCTGGGATTCTGTCGGCATGTCCAACGGGCTTATCGAAGACCTGCCACTGCCGTTGTGCATCGGTTCATCTGCTACAATGTTACCGGCAAAAAGGAGGCGAATAAAGTCAGTGAGGTCGAACTTTTTCTCCTATGGGCGATGCGAGCGGGAGTGCGGGTGTGTTCGATGACTTTCCTACAGAACTCCTTACAGGAGATTGCCCTCACTCGGCGAGGACTACCGGCACTTGGGCACTTTGTTACCGCACTCGCGAACCATTTCGACATCACCCCAGAAGCCTACCGATTACATGGTGAGATAGCGCTTCAGGAGCGGTCTGAGATGCGATGTCTCAACTACAACGAGCTCAAGCAGGCCGACCTTATTCGGAATCAGACTACAGCTAAGGAGTACACAAAGCGCACCGCATACGACACCTATTTTAAAAAGCTCCAGTAGGGTCAGCCTAATTCCGATCCGGCAGGGTCATCTCGGCAACCGACGGAGGGAGACGAGCATGAGCAGATGAATATTGATGAGGACCATTTACTTCCGCCTCCACCCGCGTGGACGCCGGCTTCGAACCCACATCCGGAGATTCCTCCACAGCAGCCACCGGCATGGTGGTCCACATTTCAGACTCAGTATACAGCCGACATCCGCTCATCCACGATCGTTTCGATGTCCAGGATAGCAGATGGGGTGCCCTCGAGAGTCGACAGAACACGCAGTGGACCAACTGGGAGACCCAGCAGCAAACCCGGTGGGACCATTGGGAGACCCAGCAGCAGACCCACTGGACTCAGCTGGGTATGCATTTCGATAGCTTCGCTGGCGGTCTCCAGTCCATTCGCGAGCGGCAGGATCAGCAGGATGCTCGGATGGATAGTTGGGACCAGAGATTCACTCAGTGGGACACCCGTTGGGGTTCGGATCCCAGTCACTCTCACCAGCCACCATCACCTCTGGATGCACAGTGACTTGTCACTGTGCTTTGTACGTTCTCTTTTTCCCTTTCTCTTTTTATTTGTGTATAGCTTTTTTGTTTTTGTTTTTGCGTTGGTCTGTTCTTTGGTCTAACTCTCCTTCACCGCGACTCGACAATGGGGACATTGTCTGATTTTAAGTGTGGGGGAGTTTTACATGCTTATGTGACTATGTGGTGGATCAGGTCTAGATTTTCTTTCTCCTTAGGGTTATGTTTATTTTTATTTTTTCTTTTCTTTTGCGTGGACCAGTCTAGTTTAGGTTTATTTGTTCTTTGTGAGCTTGGTCTTTGGTGTATTGTAAGACTAGTTGATGATTGGTTGATTGAGTTAGGAAGTTGTGATGATGAGAATGAGTGGCATTTTGATGAACTGGCTTGGTTGTTTTGTTGACATCTATTTTACCTTGTGAGGCTTTGAGCCACATTCATTTCTTTTCTTGTGAGTTATTGGTCGGAATCGTTGTCAATTAGAATTTGGCTTGAGTCTGCTATGAAATGAAATAACTGGATTTGTGAACGTGAATATGATTGAGGCATTCTTTGTATTTCCCTTCCCTTTTCTTTTTCTGAGAATAATGTCGCTAGTCACCCCTTTTGAGCCTTATTGATTTTCTTTCTCTTACCTCGTGACGATGATATTGTGGAGTTACGTGTGTGGATTGGGAGGTGAAAAAAAAAAAAAAAAAAAAAAAGCAAATGTATAAAAAAATATAGAAATGTTGAATAAATGGGTAGTAGGTTGACTTGGAGTAGTGGGAGGAACCGGTTGGTGACAGCAACCGGAGGAGTTCATGATTACGGTTATCTGATTAAGTTGAGTTGATTTTTATTTAGTCAGTTAGCCTATATTTATCCTACCCGGTCCAAAGAGCCTACGTTACAACCCTTAAAGTCCTCTTGATTCATTGTTTCACGAATTTGATTGTTTTATAGTAGGAGTTAGACGATAGGCAAATTTACGATTGATTCGACTGTTGACCAATTTGAGTGTACACAGTGATATTTGAGAAAGAAATTGAGTGAGGCATAAATGATACACTTCTGTACTCCAGAGTTGATGTCATTCACAATGGCCAAGCTAATAGTTGAGGTGTGTGCTTGTGATCATTTGAATTCCTCTTGGCTTAATTGATTTATTTGAGATTAGTCTTGCTTGAACTGTTGTCCTTGCTCGTCTGTTTTTTTTTTCTTTTCTTTTCTTTTCTTTTTGTTCGGGACGAACAAAGATTTTAGTGTGGGGGAGTTGTTCGTTCCACTTTTGTCATGTTTTTCTTGTTTATTTTATGCTTATTTTTCCTCTCCATAGGTATTTTTCGTGCATTTCCTTTGTTTTAGTCGTTTGTTGGTCTTTTTGTTTGTTTTTCCCGGTTTTCCGTATTTCTTGTCGGTGGTAATGTGCAGGTTAGATAGCGCGGTGCATGGCCATGCAAGGATTATCACCTAGATGGACGAGTTGGGGTCGTATTGGAGAAAACGGGATTAAATTCCGAATCCGGATGCGAGAACACGAACCCAAAAACTTGCCATGCAGAAAACGTTCGCCGCGGCCGCGGAAGAGAAGAAGTCGCGGCCGCGAGATGTCCAAAAATTCAATTTTCTGGCCCGTCGAGCTCGCGGCCTCGGAGATCGTCGCGGCCACGAGATGTTCTTCGCCGCGGCCGCGAAGGGCTAAGTCGCGGCCGCGGGGGTCGCGACAGCAGATTTTTTATTTTGCGATTTTGTTCAGTTTTTCATTATCTCTTTCACCTAGGTTTAGACTCTCTCTCATTTTTATTCACTGCAGAACAGATATTCCTCTTAGTTTTCATAGGATTTGATCTTGGATTGTGAAAACACCAAGATTCGACCTTTGGATTTGGATTGCTTGTTGTGTCTTCAACATTGGATTCATATTTATCGTAAGCTTTTCTCTTCTTTCATTGATGAGTGATATGTCTTTCCTTCATATGAATGTTGATGTTGGATTTGTGATGAGTAGCTAAATTCGTTAACTAGGGCTAGGGGATAATTGTTCTGGTTCAATTTCGTTTGATGAATGATGATTGCTCAAGCTATTCGAGTTGTGCAAAAACTAGGGTTGAATTGATTGATCACCTTTTTAATCCACTATATTGATCCTTAGAACCGAAAGGGGAGGGATCGATTGATCTAGGCTCGTTTAGAGTAGACTTGTTCGGAGACGTATTGTCTATGTGCTTATTGATTCGATAATTGTTCATTTAAGTTTGTTCTCTTGTTATGTGAGTTATTGAGGATGAATCTCTGAATGAGTGAGTTTTTCGTGTCCCTTGGCCGAGTGATTGATTGTCATTTAATGTATTGAGAACCGAAAACGATTGTCCCCGACACCCTAGTCCTTCTTATCATTCTTTAAATTGTGTTTTTGGAATGTTAAATTGGAATTTCTTGTTTGAGTACCATTAGTGTTAATCGCGTAGTTGATAATTCAAACCAATCAATTGAATTAGAGTGTTTAGGATTTAATTTCTCTTTTTGTGATTGAATATACGTACGAGATAATCCGGCTAACCTTCCTTGAGACACGACCCGGTGTTCGAATCTTTCGATTCCACTCTGGTAAAATAAACTATAACACAACATTCGCTTTTCCTGGGTGGTACTAGATAGTGCAGTCGTAATCCTTCACAAGCTCTAACCATCTTCTTTGGCGCATATTGAGCTCTTTCTATGTGAAGATATACTGCAAACTCTTGTGATCAGTGAATATTTAACACCGACCACCATAGAGATAATGCCTCCAAATCTTGAGTGCGTGTACAACTGCTGCCAACTCTAAATCATGAGTTGGATAATTCTGCTCATGCGGCTTCAGTTGTCGCGAAGCATAAGCAACAACTTGACCATCTTGCATGAGTACACACCCCAGACCCTGCTTCGAAGGATCACTATAGATAGTGAAACCTCTAGTAGGATCTGGAATAATTAACACTGCAGTCGTTGTAAGTCTCTTCTTGAGCTCTTGGAAGCACTCCTCACAACGATTCGTCCATTTGAACTTCACAGCTTTTCTCGTTAGATTTGTCAAGGGAAGGGAAAACTTCAAAAAGCTTTCTATAAATCTGCGATAATATCCTGCTAACCCGAGGAAACTACGAATCTCGGACGGATTTTTGGGTCCTGGCCAATTCTGGATTGCTACAATCTTTGCAGGATCAACCTCTATGCCTTTTTCAGTGATAATGTGTCCTAAAAATGCCACTTTCTTCAGCCAAAACTCACACTTAGAGAACTTGGCATATAGCTTCTTTTGTCTAAGGGTACTGAGAACAACCCTCAGATGCTCTTCATGCTCTTCCGTACTCTTGGAATAAATCAAAATGTCATCAATAAATACGATAACAAATTGATCTAAGTATTGATGGAATACACGGTTCATCAAGTCCATGAGCACCGCTGGTGCATTAGTCACACCAAACGACATAACCATAAACTCATAATGACCGTATCTTGTTCGAAACGCAGTCTTGGTTACGTTAGATTGTTTAATCTTCAGTTGATGATAGCCTGATCGTAAATCAATCTTAGAAAATACACAGGCTCCTGTCAACTGATCGAACAAATCATCTATCCTTGGGAGTGGATATTTATTCTTTATCGTCAACCGGTTTAAATCCCGGTAATCGATACACATTCTCATAGATCCGTCTTTCTTCTTGACGAATAAAACAGATGCTCCCCAAGGTGAAACACCTGGTCTGATAAAACCAAGTTTCAACAACTCTTGGATTTGAGTTTTCAGCTCCTGCAACTCTTTTGGTGTCATTCTATACGGCGCCTTTGACACTGGTGCTGCTCCTGGAACCAGGTCACTTGTGAACTCCACTTGTCTGATTGGTGGTCCTCCTGGTAATTGATCTGGAAACATGTCCACAAACTCACGAACAATTGAAATGTCATAAGGTGTCTGTGCTTTCGAATCTTCTTCAACCATACTCACCAAGTAACCATGACAATCTTCATTTCGCAAGACCTTCCTTGCTTTTGCCATGTAAATTACACGTGGTAAAGTTCACATCTTCGTACCATAGAAAGTAATTTGATTTTCTTCTGAAAGATGAAGAATTACTTCCCGATCATGGCAACGAATATACGCACGATAACGTGTTAACCAATCCATACCCAGTATGACATCGAAGTCTATCATTTCGATAACATACACATCTACTTCTAAAATTATTCCACCAATATTAAGACTAAGATTCTCTGCCTTAGAATTCGTCACTATCTTCCTTCCCGAAGCTAGGCTTACTTCGATAGGGTTAACAGTGTTGATTGCTCGAATTCAATGGCTTCTACACATCGCCTTGATATAAAGGAATGCGTTGCTCCAGTATCGAATAGTGCAAAGATAGACATATCATTTAAACTAATCATTCCAGACATAGTACCTGGATTCTGCTCCGCCTCTGCTCCGCCTCTGCCTGCTCCAACGCATACACCTGAGCCTGCT